TATGACACTCCATGTCGTGTTCTCCCCCCCCCCCCCAATTATGCCACCAAAAAAAGAGAGGTTTGTCTTAAATTCTGTAATATTTTTTTGTTGTCCGTTTGACATTTTATTGTGTGTGTGGGGGGGTCATTTTATAGTCACGGTTTATCTTCCCCTTGAGTCGGTCCAGGGGGTTGATGCCCTAATTTCCTCCTTGTGAACAAGGTGGGGGGGGGGGCATTCAGTTATGATGCTGCAGACTTGGGGTAGGAGCGGATTAGCGGCTCAGAACTGCTGGGCTAACTTGAGGGGGCCTCCCCCCGGAGAAGGAGATTTGGTGCCTTTCTTATTGACTGGGTCTGGAATGGTTTTGAGTTTTATTGATTTTTACATTTTCATGTGGTGGTTTGTTTACTTGAGAGCAGTAGAGGCGGCATGCAAACGTTTGAAATAAATAGCAGAAGTTCCTGGAGCAGATCTTCTGGGGTACAGTAGGAGGCCTTTGGGCAGCCGTGGGTCACGCTGTTGGGGGCAGGGGCGCCCTGGCCCCTTTGCTCCGGGGGGGGGTCAGGTCTCCATGGGCAAGGAGGCTTGGCCGGCCCGAGCAGAGGAGGACGTTGGCTGGGTACCGTTCCAGAGGTTACTTTTGCCTTGACCGAGAACTGGGCGGCGTTTTCAAGGCGGCGGACAGCAGCTGAAGTCACTCAGTGCAGTAATCATAGAGTTGGAAGGGGCTATACAGGCCCTCTAGGGGGCTGCGGTGGCTCAAGTGGTTAAGACGCTGAGCTGCAGACCGGAAGGTCGGTAGTTCAGCAGTTTGAGACCCGAGTGCCGCAAGACGGAGTGAGCTCCCGTCTCTGACCCCAGCTCCTGCCAACCTAGCAGTTCGAAAGCAAGAAATTGCAAGGAGATAAATAGGGTACCACTTCGGTGGGAGGGTAACAGGGTTCTGTGCACCTCAGCGTCTAGTCATGCCAGCCACATGACCATGGCGAAGTCTTTGGACAGCGCTGGCTCTTCGGTTTGGAAACGGGAGATGAGCACCACACCCCTAGAGTTGGATTCGACTGGCTTTTGAGCAAGGGAAACCTTATACAGGCCATCCAGCCCCACTCCTTGCTCAATGCAGAATCAGCCCAGAACTTCCCTGAAAAGTGTACAGAAATGAATATTCCTGTTTAGAATATAGAATGAATATTCCCGTTTCAAATCATGCTTCCAAGCAGTGTTCCCTCTAAGCTGAGTTAGTGTGAGCTAGCTCACAGTTTTTTTAGCTTCCAGCTCACGCGTTTTCGTCTTAGCACAGGAAGGATGGCTCCAGAGGAAACGGATTTATGCAGGAGCCAAATCGCTCGCTCCCAACTCTAATGCCAGGAGCTCACATAGGAGAATGTTTGCTCACAAGACTCCACAGCTTAGAGGGAGCATTGCTTCCGAGTGAGGAATTCTCTGCTCTAGAAACCGAGGATTAGCTGGAGATTGGCTGTGGGAAGCGTCTTCCCGTCCCCTGCGAAGACCCAGAGCCGTATTTGAGGGCCCGGTCTTGCTGATAGTTGAGGGCTGCTGCCTTTCGAGGGTCCAAGCCTGATGGGGGGGGGATTGGTAGTCGTGTTCTGGAGCCCCGGGGTAGGCCAAGGGGGTCCAGTTTCTAACCCACCGGCCTCCTCCGCAGCCTGGCCAACATCCCTCTGACTCCGGAGACGCAGCGGGACCAGGAGCGGCGGATACGCAGGGAGATCGCCAACAGCAACGAGCGGCGGCGCATGCAGAGCATCAATGCCGGCTTCCAGTCCCTGAAGACCCTCATCCCCCACACAGACGGGGAGAAGCTCAGCAAGGTGAGACGGGGGCAGGGAGGGCGGGCCAGGCACCCAAACGTCTCCCCTCCCTGGCAACTTGCGGGCAAGCGCCGGGAGCAGCTGCTCCAGAGGAGAGCCTTCCGCATTGTGCAGCATTCAAGCAGACCCCCTCCCTCCATGCTGGTGGTGCATTCACCATGCTCAGTGTTCAGGGAAGTGCACTTCTCTGTGCACCGAATGCAAGGGACCCGAGCTTTGTTTCTGGGACGATTCGGCCTTCTGCGTGACCAGGAGCTGGCCCTGGCGTGGAACCAGCGGAATGGGGCCTTGGGGCTGCATGAGCCTCATCTCTGTGGGACCTCCGTCCAGGATGTGAAAAAAGCCCAGGAGGGGCCGTGGCTCAGTCGCAGAGCCTCTGCTTGGCATGCAGAAGGTCCCAGGTTCAGTCCCCAGAATCTCCAGCTAAAAAGGACCAGGCAGGAGGTGATATGAAAGACCTTTCTCTGCTTGAGACCCTGGAGAGCTGTAACCAGGGGCTGGTGGCTCAGTGGCAGACTCTGCTTGGCATGCAGAAGGTCCCAGGTTCAGTCCCCAGAATCTCCAGCTAAAAAGGACCAGGCAGGAGGGGATGGGAAAGACCTCTGCCTGAGACCCTGGAGAGCTTCAGAGAGGGGCTGTGGCTCAGCGGAAGAGCCTCTGCTTGGCATGCAGAAGGGCCCAGGTTCAATCCCCGGCAGCATCTCCAGTTAAAAGGACCAGGCAGGAGGGGATGGGAAAGACCTCCGCCTGAGACCCTGGAGAGCTGTCAAGAGGGACCATGGCTCAGCGGAAAAGTCTCTGCTTGGCATGCAGAAGGTCCCGGGTTCAATCCCCAGAGGCATCTTCAGTTAAAAAGGGCAAGGCAGGAGGGGATGGGAGAGACCTCCGCCTGAGACCCCGGAGAGCTGTCAAGAAGGGCCGTGGCTCAGTGGCAGAGCCTCTGCTTGGCATGCAGAAGGTCCCAGGTTCAGTCCCCGGAAGCATCTCCAGTTCTCAAAAGGGCCAGGCAGGAGGGGATGGGAAAGACTTCCGCCCGAGACCCTGGAGAGCTGTCAAGAGGGGCTGTGGCTCAGTGGAAGAGCCTCTGCTTGGCATGTAGAAGGTCCCGGGTTCGATCCCCAGCAGCATCACCTCCAGTGAATCAGGGCCAGGCAGGCGGTTAGTGAAGAGTTTTTCCAGGGCCAGGCCAGGCGTGGATGGGAAAGCCCTCTCTTCCTGAAGCCCCGGAGAGCAGCTGCCAGCCTGAGCAGACGAGACTGACCTGGGTGGGCTCCGCTCCGGGTGTCCAGGGCTGGCCCCGGGCTCCTCTGCGGGGGCCTGGCTGCGGGGGGAGTGTCCGTGTGCTGCCTTTGCTGTGGGCCTCCTTCCCACCGCCGCCATGCTTCCTCTTCTCCTCTCCTCCAGGCAGCCATCCTGCAGCAGACGGCGGAGTACATCTTCTCTCTGGAGCAGGAGAAGACCCGGCTCCTCCAGCAGAACGCTCAGCTCAAGCGCTTCATCCAGGTACCTCAACGGCAGCACGAGGGGCGGGGCTGTTTTCGAGGGCATGGGGCCTGCTTCCCACTCCCCCCACACACAGCTGGCGGGGAGGTCCCTGGGGGGTGGGGGGTTCCCTTGCTCCCTTCTGAGTCTGGCTGTGCCTGGCAGGAGTTCAGCGGCTCCTCCCCGAAGCGGCGGCGGGCCGAGGACAAAGACGAGGGCATCGGGTCGCCGGACATCTGGGAAGACGAGAAGGCCGAGGACCTGCGCCGGGAGATGATTGAGCTGCGGCAGCAGCTGGAGAAGGAGCGCTCCGTCCGGATGATGCTGGAGGAGCAGGTGAGGGCGGGAGGGGCCGCGCGCGGGGCACATTCAGGGACCCTTCCTCCCCCCACACACACACCCGGGAGCATGCCGGGCGCTGTTCTTGTGAGGCTCTTATGGGGACAGGGGAGATCTCTTTGGGGAGCGGCTTTCGAGGTTCCCTTTGCACCTGGGGGAGGGGAGTACGAGGAGCCCAAACACCTGCCCTCCGTCAGAGGTCCCGGCCAAGGCTCCCTCTTAGCAGTGGAGTCCCGTGAGCAAAAATTCTACATTGTGAGCTCTAGGGATGTGAAGGCCCGGGGGAAAAAACGGGGAAAATCCAGGGGGTGGGGGGACGTCCCCCCCCCCCCCCGTTTTTTCTCTTGTGCCTTTTTTTTTTTTTTTCATACCCAAAAAAATGGGGGGGGGGGGAGAAAAAAATTGTTTATGGAACGTTTTATTTTAACATGATGGATAAAATATTTTAGGACAAGGTGTTCAAATATTTTCCAAATCATTTCTAAAAAATATGTATGGTATCAGATTGATCTAATTTCTGTGCACTGAGGACAAGCAAGTCCTAGGTTACAAACTGAACTCTCCAATGCAAGAACAAGATGCATTTCTCCCTTTAGGAGGTGCTATTGTCACAAGAAGAGAAAAAGGTTTCAGTCTTCTTTTTGCATGTGGATGGGTATTCCGTTTGTAATCATTGTTTGGATACACTATATTTTTAATAGGCTAGTTGTGATAATTTCATGCCAAGTACAAATGTCCATAGTCATATTTTATGTTCCTAAAGTAACAGAATGACTTTCAACCTGGAAAAGAAAAAAGAAGTGCTAATGTAGCAATTTTTTTTTCAATTTTTCCGAAAATTTCCGTTTCCCCCCGAAAAAAACGGGTTTTTCCAAGCTTCAAATTTTTCGGAAAGTTTACATCTCTAGTGAGCTCCTGGTGTTAAAGTTGGGAGCGAGCTATTGGGCTCCTGCAAAAATTAGTTTGCTCTGGAGCCCTCCTTCTTGAGCTAAGACAAAAATGTGTGAGGAGGCTAAAGAACTGTGAGCTAGCTCGCACTCACTCAGCTTAGAGGGAGCACTGGTCCCGATGCTGTGGTGTGCGTCTGCAGCCCTGCCGGGGGCCGAGTCTGGAGAGCCAGAGAGTGCCGGGGTGGGGGTGGGGTGGGAGGGGGGCTCCCTCAGTAGGGTTACAGCAGGAGGACTGCAGGGCCCGGAGCGGGAGCCAGAAAATCCTGAAGGGCAGCGAGGCCTCCAGTGGGTGATTTTGAGCTGCTCTTCTTCTCAGGGCTGGGGGCTGGAAAGGGGTATTGGGGCGTCCACAGCAGATTGCCCAGAGGCCGGGCGCCTGCACCCCATTTTGGGGGGGAGGCCTCTGGGGGCGCCCATGACCCGGATCTCTCTGCGTGGCCGGCAGGTCCGCTCTCTGGAGGCCCACATGTACCCCGAGAAGCTGAAGGTGATCGCTCAGCAGGTGCAGATCCAGCAGCAGCACGAGCAGGCCAGGGAGCAGCAGAACCACGCCCAGGTGAGGGAGGGTGGGAGCGCGCAGCCCGCTCCCCTGCGATGCCACTGCAGCTGGCCCTGCAGCTTTTTGCCATTGTGGTTAAGAGCAGCAGACTCTAATCTGGGAGAACCGGATTTGATTCCCCACTCCTCTGTATACAGCCAGCTGGTGTGACCTTGGGTCAGTCACAAGTTTTCTCGGAGCTGTTCTCTCAAGGGCAGTCCTTGAAAGAGCTCTCTCAGCCCCGCCCGCCTCACAGGGTGCCTGTCTGTTGTGGGGAGGGGAAGGGAAAGGAGTTTGTAAGCCACTCTGAGACACCCGAGTGAAGGGCGGGGTATAAACCCAATCTTCTCCACTTCATCTTTCTTCTCCTCTTCATCTTCATCATCTCCTCCTCCCCCGGGGGGGGGGGGGGGAGACTGAAGCTCTGGTCCCTGAGGCTGGCTGGAGCAGAGAGGTGGGGCCGCGGAGCCCGCTGAGTCCAGGGAGGGAAGCCGTGGGCTGCAGGCTCACCTGGGCCTGGGAGCAAAGCAAGTTTGGGGTTGTCTCTCTCCTAGGCTAAGGTCAGGAGAAACAGCAATAAAGAATCCCATTTCCTTCTCTTTGGCAGCCCTGGTGCCGTCAAGGTCCCCCTTCTCCCCCCCCCCCCCCGCCCGGGGGGCGCCACCCCCATGCCCACCCCCCCACGCGGTGGGGCACACACTGCTTGGCCCCCTTCCGCTGCTAATGGGGGGGGGGGGAGACCCAGGACTTCCGAGCAGGAAGGGGGCCCTTTCCTAAAGGGGACGGGAGGGCGATTCAGGGGTGGACAATCACCGGAGGCCTTGGGCAGTTCGGAGAGCACCGTTCCACCTACGCCACGCCCTGTCTGCCCCCAGGGTGCTTGCCTTTCTGGGTGCCGCACTGAATCTGGCAGATGGTGTCCCGTTGTCCGTCTTTCCCAGGTCCCGCGTCCCCTCCTCGGCCCCGGCTCTTCACCCCTTTCTCTCTGTTTTGCAGCTCCTGCCCGTGCACGGCCCTCCGGCGCCCACCCACCACCCGACCGTGATCGTGCCAGCCCCGCCGCCCTCCCACCACGTCACGGTGGTCACCATGGGCCCCTCCTCCGTGATCAACACTATCTCCACATCCCGGCAGAATCTGGATACCATCGTGCAGGTAGAGGGCGGAGGAGGAGGGGGTGCCGGCGGAGGGAGGGAGGGGTCTGCCCTTGGGGGGGGCAAAAGGGAGTCTCGTTCTGTGCCTTCCCGAAAGGCCAGGCAGGAGCTGAGCAAACCCGGTCAGGCGCTGGAGGGGGTGGCTCACTAGGCAGGCGTCAAGAGGAATTCCGCCTCGTGCGTCCTGGGAGACAGAAGCGTGCCTTTTAATGTTTTTTAGGAAAGCAGTGTCTCTTTTGGGGGGACCTTGGGCCAGTTTGGCGTAGTGGTTAAGTGCGCAGACTCTAATCTGGGAGGACCGGGTTTGATTCCCCCACTCCTCCACTTGCACCTGGCTGGATGACCTTGGGCAAGCCAGAGTTCTGACAAGAGCTGTCCTTGAAAAAGAGCAGTTTCTGTCAAGAGCTCTCTCAGCCCCACCTGCCTCACAGGGTGTCTGTTGTGGGGAGGGGAAGGGAAAGGTGTTTGTCAGCCGCTCTGAGACTCCCGAGTGAAGGGCGG